CTACCTCCATTGGTGATTTTTTTGTAGCCCTAGTCAATATTTGGGACAGGAAAATGACCTGGGTAGCTGACACAGTTAGTTCTGTGCATCTCCATCAAACATATTCCTTGGTGTTCAGAGAGATCAAGAATATAAAGCAGCAAGGGAAAACTAAAACAATTGTGGGGAGGAAACCCAGAATGTGTCTGACAGCACACAGGCTAGAGGCTATGTTAAGGTCTATGGTATGTTGTTGATGGCAGCAAAGAAACAATACGGTTCTGTCACTGTTTCTGTGCACAGAGTCATCTGGCAGAACTATTTGGAGCTGGAAAAGGTCTGTTATATAAGAGACCAGTGAAAGTTAAGGAAGAGGATCCAGTTGTACACTTTGCTGATAAAGCAGCTCCCTTCTGCTCAGATTCCAGGATTGCTGCCAGTATTGATGATGTACCTTTGCCACCTGCTTGTCCTGTAATGGATACCTTTCAATTTGACAGCCTGAGGATGTGGACAAGATCCCTGGCAGACTGAAATCAGCCACATGTGTGACTGACACTTACTCTTCCTGGCTGATAAAAGTAGCCAAGGGAAGGCTGTTCAAGTAAGCACAGAAAAGGCTAAAAGAAGGAAGCGATGTCATGCAACTGTAAAGCTACGAGTGGCTTAACCATTATTAAAGAAGCTCTACATGGGTTGAATTGTGTTGGATAATTTCCAACCAGTCTCCAATTTGCCATTTTTGTGCAAAGTAATTAATGTGGAGAGTCATTCTAGTTCTAGGGCTTCGTGGATGGAGCAGATTATCTAGATTTCACTTCAGTATACTCTCTCTTTGAGATAGCTTTGGTTGCTGTTGTAGATGAACTACATCACGGGCTAAACAGGGGGAGTAATTATTTATTTAGATATTTCTTGACCACCTTTCAGGGCAGAAGCCCTCCTAGAACAGCAGATTATATCTCTGCTGGTCCTGTTGGACCTCCAAGCAGCATGTCACACAAGAATATGCTTGGAAAGTGCCATAGCCCTCCTTCAAGAGTCAGCTTCAGAACTGATGCTGTGCGGTTCTTGTTCAACCTCTTCACAACTGGCAGATGGAATTCCTCAGGGAACTCTTGAGAGAGACTGTCCAGGGATCTGGGGTGTGTTGTCACCAATCTATGGGTCATGTGCAATCTTGTTTCTCTTTTTCATCTATTATAGGCAAGGTTTTCAGGTTCTGAATTGGAATCTGGCAGCAGTAATGGCTAGATAACGGCCCATGAATTTAGATGTAATCCAAACTAAACAGAGGTGCTCCAGGCTAGGAGACAGACTCTAGAATGGGCTATCATCCTATATTTGGCTAGAGTGTTACAAATCAAGTCCACTGTTTAGGGATGCTTCAGGACTCTGCTTTGGATATTCAGATAAAAGATATAGCTTGGGGCCACAATACCTGAAGGAACACTTCCTACCGTTTGAGGCCTTCCTCTGAGTACCACCTACAAGGGCGGCAACAAGGAAGCATGACGGCTTTTGATCATGAAATAATCTTCCCATGGAATTCTGCCTGGTGTCACTGCTGTCATCTTTTGGGCACCAAGTTAAGACTGTTCGCTATTCCAAGCATTTAATGACATATTGCTGTTTAATGGGTCTGTTTGAACTGAAATTGTTTAAGCTGTTTTGATTTTTTAATTGAATTTTATTGTATTTGAGTATTATTATTGTATTTGCATGTTATTCTCTATTTTTATTATTATACCTGTTTTATGAATTGCTGGGAAGTGTCCAGAGAACTCTGGCTATTATGCTGTATAGAAATTATCTATTATTATCATTATTATTGTTATTGTGCCTCACCATTAAACCCTTCCCTTGTCCATTCACAAGCCTTCATACTCAATGGATTTTATGAGATTTGCTTAAAATGAGCAAATGCTGTTTTCTCTTGTTATTGTTTTTGTTTTCACTGTTTCCTTTGTTTTTAACTATTACCATTTTATTGATTTACCATATAATGATTATATGGCATTAGCAGCCTCATGAATCCATATGATTAAGAAATGTGACCCCCACAGCACCAAAGAGCAGAATTTTAAAAATTTGTATTAAACAATAAATTGTATAAATCCACTTCTTATTGCAAGATCATTGTAAAACCTCCTGATTTCATGACTGGAGGTAGAGTTGTCCATGTGTGCCTTTGAAAGACAATGCCTAGTTTCTAAGAAAATATCTATATCTATATATATGAGAGAAATCTGAAAGGTTACTAGAAAGTGTGCTAGAAAGGAAAATTCTGTGCTTCATAGTAAAATAACAAATCTAAGGAGAGATAAGCTGCCCCACTCCCAGCTCAAATGGTCCAATCAAATATAAAACCTCCTTGAAGAAGGATGGCATTCAAAAGACTCCTCACAGGGGCTTATCTCTCCTGACAACCGGCAATCTCTACCATTTCCCAGTGGGACTCCCTTGGGGTCAGGACTGGCTACCAAATGGCTTTGATGGTAACTTCAGTATGACATCATTTTGGACAGGAGAGGACCACTTGAACATCCTCCTCGATTGCCTACCTTCTTGTAAACTGAATAGGATGCGATTCTGTTGCTGCTCAGTGCCATCTTCTACCTGAGATCATTTGGATTACACGACAATTTCCATCATCCCTGGCCATTGGCATTTTCACCAAGGAACTGTAGTTTAACCCCAGGAAGGAGATGGACCCCAACCTTTTTCTCTTTAGGAACCAGGTCAGGAAGGAGGAGGACAGAAGCGGTGTTTGGGGGGAAATGGGATCAGTAGACTGTGTTACCTAACTTAATTCTGCTCAGAGAAACAGAGTAGTGTTTTTTGACTTTTCAAGCACCTCTTACTTGATTTCGCTTAATAGCCCTAAAGTGAACATCATGGAACTGCCATTGCTTCATTTCTGTCTTTTTTGCCATCTAATTCATACATTCACACTGTTGTATCTCCTTAGTCTTCATCAGCCTATGAGAGAAAGTGGAGGCAAAGACTCGCACTGTGAAGACGGCATGTTGTATGTAGGAAGAACAAAGAGTAGAAAGAGAGAGTTGGAGTAGTTTCAGTACTGAGGCTCACTCTTTTCCCTTGCCTAATTCCACCTTAATTCTTGAACAAAATTCCTCTAGCAGTAAAGGCAAAATCAGAATAAGCAGAATAAGCCACAACCAGACTAAGACAACAGTAAGCTATTTTGGACTTTCATTAATTTTCAAAGGGATGGATCAAATTTTAAAGCATCTTTTTTCCACCTTCAAGGCCCTTCAAGGGCTCTGTACAAGTACAGCAAAATTTCAGTGAAACTTGGCATGACAACCTGTGTTCAGCCAGTGCATAAGAGATACAGGCTGTGTTCAAGCTACAGACTTTAAACATTTATCTGTTATAAACCCAGCTATCAGAAGAGGAAACGGATTGCTCCTGACCCATACTCAGTCTCAAATGACAGCTACAGATTTTTTAAATCATTTTAAAACAGATGGAACAAAGAGCAAGTTCAGCTTCCTGGGCAATTTTGCCACAAGCAGGCTAATGAAGGCTGTTTACACACTTGGGAAAGGTAGAGCAAAGGATCACAGCCTAATCATAGCAGGATGCCAAGCAGTCAGCTTATTAATGAACCACTGATAATTCAATAATTTGTACATCTAAATTACTAAAGTTCAGCTTCACTCTCATATGCACACATGTGCATGCACACACTTGGCCCAGTGCCAACAGAATCTATCAGACAGGAAGATGTTATATAACCCTGGAAAGCTGAACTATGGACAATTAGGGAGTCTGAATTCTCAGGAGCAGAGAGAATGGAAATTATCCTTGTCCCTGATTAATGGACCTAGAATTCATGAAAACGAAGCTATTAAAATGCTTTGTTCAAGTTGTCTCAAAGCCATTCAAGACATGATGTTGGGAGATCTATGAGCAGATCTCCTGCCTCTATTTTAAAATGGTAAATGCAGCCAGAATATGTGTGCAATTCAGAGTGGAACTACCGCAAACAATTAGGTTTTCCCTGTGCTGCAAACAGCACCTCAGAAGATGAAATAGTTTGGATCATGAAAATGACAGCAAGGAAAGGTTGAAATCCATTTTTCATAATGCTGTAGCATTGAATTAAATTCCCTTCCAATATCAGTTCTAATCTTCCCAGCAGTTTGGCCTTAAGTTTGTGATTTTTACATTCATATATAAAGTGAACATATGAGTTCATTTGTTCTCCCCCACCCCCCACACTCACACAATCTATCTTGGTTCCACTGAGTTCCAAATCTAGATTTCTTTCTAAACCAGAGATATTGAAAGTTGTTCCCATATTTCAGAAAACCCTTGGAACTGTAGTTCTTGTGGGAACAGAGGAAGAATGCTAGGTTCTGACAATCCACAGCTAACTATTTCCTAGGGTTCTTTGGAGAAGTTTTGACAGCTGTCAATGCCTCTATTTCTGGGAAATCGGCTAAGTGTCAGTGTTTACACAGTACAAATGGCATTAACACATATGTGCACACAAGGGAGGTATCAGCAGACTTGGTGAAGGCATGAGGTCTGCAGGTTGACAATCTTAAGGATGGGGTCGAAGAACATTTCAATGTTCAGTGTCCACAAAGTTCTTACCTTCTGTTGGGGGGGGGGGGGAAAGTCCTGCATCTTTGTTTTCCCTCTCTTCTTTTTAAGGCAACTAGTAAATTTAAAAGATAGTGGTAGAATGAGGTTTCATGAAAGAAGGCATCTTGGATCACGGCAGCCTGTTGAGAACAGTGGACAGAACTCCACACTGCAAGAATTTGTGGTAGGTCCACTTATAATACAAGGTTTATTAAATGAATATGTGCCTAACTGAGCATTACTCCACTTAGAACCATGTGCAGTCCTCCATAATGCTGAGTATATTTTCTTTCCCTTACTTCACAGCAGCGAGAGAAGCAAACATGCCATTAGAGTAAATATTTTTCTTGCCAAAGAAAAGAAATGGAAGTTGTTCCAAACCAAACAAAATTAATGCCTACCTCAGGAATACGGACACTGTATGGCTGGTTGTGAAACCTTGGCGCATTGTCATTCACATCTCCCACTTGGATGTTCACTGATCCTTTGATCACCTATGAACAAAATGATTGAACCAAGTTTAGTTACACATATTGCGGGTAATTTCCTTGATTTCCAGATAACAGATGCTAGAAACTTCCACATGTTACTTATCTGTAACAACAGGCACCTATACAAAACTTGGCAACCCTTCACTTGCTAAACGATCTTTGCAGAAGAAAAGGAATTACATGTCCTAAAGATCCAATTTCTCCATATTTTGGGTGGTACAGAAATTAAATAAACAAATATCTTGAGACCCTTTCAGATCTGAAGGTTGGCTTAGCTGCAAGAATCTTTGCGACAGCAAAGAGCTGAGCTCTGTGGAAACCAAAACTAGGATTCAGAATGCTCAATGGAGCTGCAGTCTTTGCAAACCTCCACAAATTTCCTGCAAGGATGAGATCTGCCCTGTACATCTTATAGTGCCCCACCCATTTTGACTCCTGAGGTATCTGTATGCAGGCATTCTGCTGTGAACATTTAGGTAATGCTTCCATTTTCTATTCCATTTTTTTCAAAGAACTGGAAGAGGCTACCAATAAAAAAAGAATAAAGCAACAATCAAATGCAAAATAAGCTATTAATTTCCAATAATTATGTTTTAATTATTATACTGATACAACATTCAGGATCAAAACAATTGAATCCATAAGGTGAGCTTTTTATCCAGTAACTGAAAATATTCCTAATAGAAGGGAATAATTTCTCCACTGTTTTGGGTAACAAGCTGCCAGAAAATAGCTGTCTCTTTAACAAGTGAATAGTTCAAATCTGAATCAGAACTGAATGAATGGAAGAAGAGAAGCTACACAAAGGATCTCCATACATATCCCTTAGATTCATGTCTATTTACATATTATAAAGACTACAATATCACACACATCTAGTACAACCATTTCTTTGCTTCTGTGCAAGCATTCTAAGAACTGTGCTTTGAGAAATGATATAAGAAGGAATTTTGAAGCCTTCCAACCTGTTCTGTCTCCTATGGGGGGGTGAACTGAAGATCTCCAGATGTTTTGGACTCCAGCTCCCAGAAACTCCTACCAGCATGGCCAATGGACAAGACTGCTGGGAGCCAAAGTGCAAATTATCTGCAGAACAACATTCTGCTCACCGTATTCTAAAGCATGTTTCTAACACTTACACATCTGGACATCAACATGTATTTCGTTCTGCCATTAACATTTCTTTGGAAAATAGTGTCCTTCTACATAACCAGTATGGCCAGTCTATGAGCTCAAGGAAGTTGATTCTTTTTAGAATACAACAGAAAATCAAACAAACTATACTCAGATACACGCCATAACCCTGAAATTTAAACACTTTGATGTAAATAAGGGGGAGGGAGGGAGGGAGGGAGGGAGAGAGAGAGCGAGCCCCAGACAACTAAGCTTCCACACATTTCATACACTGTTGCACTAAAATGGTGCCATTATCTGTGTACTCCCGTCATTATAAATATTCCTTCATCCCTAAGAGGCCTCTGTTAGGAGGACAGTGGGACTCTAAACTGTGTTACTCTCCTCCCCACAGAGCACACTAACCAAATCAGCTCTGCACCTCTCTGTCATGGAACAAATGTCATACATACCCCTTGGCTGTCGCTGACAGAAAATTCAACTGTGAATTCTGACTTGGTCTGAAACCATAAAAAAAGATATAATTAGAGATGCCACAATGGTAATCTGTTGATACAAGGCTTTGGACTTGAGCCGAATATAATTGCATGCTTTTGCAGCCTGGAAAATGATAAAGCAGTATCTCAGGAATGGCTGCAAAAATTCAGAACAAGACAGCAATAGTCTTTCTTACAGAGATAGAAAGGGGATAGGATGAGAGGTCCATGCAAACGGGAGAGGAAGAGACAGAACAATTCGGCTTCCTTAACTGATACAGGATATTTCCATGATGTTTCATGTGTGTTTGCATATATATATGTTTGTATGCATGTGCACATATTAAAAGATGGGGAAAACCCCAGAAGAACATAACTATGAGGAAGAGATTGACAGTTCTTGCTACAGGTCAGTTATGGAACATAGTTCTGCTCCATTTTTCTAACAGAACATAATACAGAATGCAACCAACATAAAACCACTGTAAGAGAGAAATAAAGTTAACCTAAAAGGGGGTGCAAATGTAGATAAAGGTCCAGCAGCATGCATCTCCACAATATTTCAAATTACATAATACTTTGCTGAATACCTGATAGGATATAAACCCACAAGAAGATACTGGCACAGTGCAAAAAGGCTTGAATATTAACATGCGGCTGCTGGGAAGCATGCAGACAAATCTCAAAATGCCCAATTTATTCAATGTTCCACTAAAGGAATGATTCAGCCCTCAAAGTTCAGTAGCATTTTTTGCAAGTTCACCAATTTGGACCAGCACACATCAATTTATTCTATGTATGAATTCACGTTATGGCAAACCATGGTGTGCTATAAGCATGGACCATGTAACCCCTACATTCACACTCCCACTCCCCTGTTCCACTATGTATAAAGGAAGGCAGAGCTTGCCACCATGTCTATGGAATGCGGGACTAGATGGACCTTTGGTCTGATCCAGCACAGTTATTCTTATGCTCTTACGCACTTCTCATTCAGATTACCACTTGAGGCAAAACTGCAAATTAGCTTATGACAAATGAGAAACTGACATTTCTAATTTATTACTTTTGCATGAAAATAAGGAAGAGAGTCATAGAGGGGTGTTGGTAAGCCTGCAGCTTCTTCTTGCAAGAGCAAACCATAGTTTGGCTCAATTCAGACAGAATGACAACATCTCACAGTAAAAGGTAAAGATAAAGGTTTCCCCTTGACGTTACGTCCAGTCATGCCTGATTCTAGAGGGTGGTGCTCATCTCCGTTTCCTAGCCAAGGGAGCCAGCGTTTGTCCACAGACAGTCTCTGTGGTCATGTGGCCAGCATTACTAAACACGGAAGTGCACGAAACGCTGTTACCTGCCCACCAAAGTGGTACCTTTTCATCTACTTGCATTTGCATGCTTTCCAACTGCAAGGTTGGCAGGAGGTGGGACGGAGCAACGGGAACTCACCCTGCTGTGCGGATTCGAACTGGTGACCTTTTGATCAACCGGCCCAGCAGCTCAGCGGTTTAAACCACTGCGCCACCTGCATCCCTGACATCTCACAGTGTATGGTGCCAAAAGTTCAACAGGGGAAAGACACTGAACAAAAGTCTGCAATTTGCAGATGAATTACTAGATTCCCTGCAGTTTCCCCTCTCTTTTGGTGCAGCAACAGTTTACCCTGGAGCAGAGGAGGTTTTCAAGATAGTTTACAGGTTATATCCTTTCCTTCCATGAATTCTCAGCTAATGCAATTTGAGAAGGGCCTGCAGAGATTCAGCTCCTATCTCAGGGCAATGCCTGCAGCCAGTCAGTGAAAGTCAAAATGACAAGGATAAAGGAGATGTCATCTATTTGTCTCTGGAAGACATTGTCCTTCCTTCCATTGTCTCCCCACTCCCCCACACAACCACTTCATCTCCAAGAACACAATGCAATATAGACAAGCTGGAGGCAACTGGACTGACAAAAGCAACTCTTCAAGCTAAACAACCATCATGCTGTCAGGCCTACAGTCTGCAGTCAGCAAGAACAGGTCTTCCAGATGCTCAAACTAGCAAGTCTGATTATTGAGGTTAATAAACAGGGCTGACCCAGAAGATTTTATGGGGGAATCACATAATATCACCTGACCTGGGCTAGTATAAATTCATCGTTAGCTATGAGTAGTCTCCTTGCTGTTTCTTTCTTTGGCCAGAGATGGGTGTTGGTGGAGGGCTGAATCCCCACGGAAGATTTCTTGGGAGTGCCCAGATACAGACCTCCTGGCAGCTCAAGCCTTGACGCACATCAATCATTACAAAACAAACACTCATTACCTCTCTGTCCAGCGGTTGCCTGAGCCACACCACTCCAGTCATGCTTTCCACTGCAAAGAATCGGCTAGCTTCCTCCCCAACGACTCCATACACAAGATGGTCATTGTCTAGGTCACGGGCAAGCAGCTGGGTCACCGATGAACCTGCAAAGATACAAGAAAAAGAAAAGGCCAAGAGAAAGTTAGTGGTGTGATGGAAGAGTTGCAAGGACAGAAATATCTGTCTTGGTAAAATAAGAGAAGATTCTCAAACACATTATGGTCTAGAATTGCATTGTGACAAACTTTTATGAAGTAGACAGTGAAGATCTCAGAAATTTGGGCAAATCATGCGGTCTTTGCTTTCAGAATGCATTTGCTTGAGAACTATGTTGCATTCATAACTGGGGGTTTTATCAGACAGAATGGATGTTGTACTTTACTTTGTTTTATTGCAAGACTGTCCCGAAACTATTTGGTAGCAGACAGTATACAAAAGTTTTAAATAAATAAATTTATGTGGGCAGCTGAAGAAGCTAGAGGCAGACAAATCACCCAGCTTCCAGACAGTCTTGGAATTTTCATTTTATACTTTGTGAAGGGCAAAAGTGCAAAACATTTACATACAAGTCAACGGAGCGCAAGGCACCTACATGCAATCAAGTACCAGCTGCAGACTGGACGGTGGGGCCAAACCATTTAACCTTTGTGTGTGTTTTGGATGAAGGATTGTTTTTCTTTTTTCCTTTTTTGCTGGAATCTAAAACTGACATTGACCCAAAGCATCCCAGAGAAAAGAATAACTTCCACAGCAGCATTTTAAATACCATTTAGTCATCCCAAAGGCTCAAACAGACACGATGTCCAGACATCAGTGATTGATCTCGTTATATTATTTTGCATTGTTTTAAGGAAACTGGGGCGGCGGGGAGAACTCTTGATCAGAGAAGTGGTGCTGAAGGGGGGGGGGTCATTCCCTGTGATGCACAGACATCCCCATGTAAACAAACAAACACAAGTGTTCTCTTTAAGTACTTGGCAAAAGCTGGAGGGCTTTTCTGAGCATTTCACTATACATAAAAACCATCATTGTTTCTATTCCTTCTCCAACCTATTTCAGGTGGGAAGTCCATCTGCAGGTGGCTCCAATGCCTTAAAAGTCTCAACACTACTTTTCTCAGGATCAAACTTTCAAATCATCCTCTTTTCAAATTGATTAGGACAGGGGCTTGTTCAATTTGTACAGGAAGTGATTTGAAAAACTGTAAAAACTACTGCTAGGATGTATTAGGAGTATAGTTGTTGTACTACTACTACTACAACGCTGCATTTATATCCCACTATTTTTTTTCCTCTTGCAGGAGACACTCCTGCCTCAAGGATCTCCAGCACAAGGCTTGCTGGTCATGATCAGCAGGTCTCTTCCCAGAAGCAGCACTTAAAATCACTGGTTAAGCAAAGCCAGTGGAGACCAGGGGAATGTCTACACTACAGGCTCTTCTGTTTATGATTTCTCAGAGTTGAGGCACATGCTAATAAACACTGCTTACCTGAAAATGTGAGCTTGTGTCACATACAAATGCAACTGTGGGAGAAGTAGCAAAGGGGATGTGTTCAGGGAAATCTTTTTCCCCCTTTCAATCCATTAACTAGGTATGCATGCAAAGGAGTGAAGGAGCAATGACTAAAAATCTCCTTTGCCAAAAACATGGAGGAGAACAGCGTGAGGTAAGCAGAGCCTGTGGGGCTGCTTGCCGGTGAGGTGATGAAGCCTGAAGGACCGGTACAAGCATTCTCCTCCACCCAGAATCAAGCAAGTCCAGCCCTTCTCCTGTGCTGACATTTCCACAACAATCTCCATTGAGGTTAATGTGATTTATTCGTGAGTAAGGCTGCTTAAAATTGTATGACTTCAAGTAGACATACATTTCAGCTAATTGTTTCTTCAGCAAGACAGCAGGGACAGTCAGAAGGCTTGAAAAGCCATTGCAAATAAGCAGGTTGCTTACCTGTAACTGATGTTCTTTGAGTGGCCATCTGTGCAGTCACACATATGGGTGTTGCGCCTGCGTAGTGCCTTTGGCCGGAAGATTACAAGCTAACGGTTTTTTTGGCGGGAAAGCTCCGCTCCCCCTCCCCCACAGCCTATAAAGAGCGGAGCGTCTGCCATTTTGTTCAGTCTTTGATGACTGGCCGGATGCCCCCATGTGGAAAAAAAATTGTTCTATCATGAACAGCATCGGTACCAAGAAATAATGAACAAGATTGGTACCAAGAAATAATGAGAATATTTGGTACCAACGAAAAATCCACTCACCGACACCGAGCGGGGCTGGCGGGTGGGTTGTGTGACTGCACAGATGGCCACTTGAAAAACATCAGTTACAGGTAAGCAACAAGCTTTTCTTCGTCGTGGCCTCTGTGCATCATACATATGGGTAGATTAACAAGCTTACCATAATGGAGGCGGGAAGGTGTCCTCAGTGAAGAACAGACGAAAGAACGGCTCTGCTGAAGGAGCAATCCTGCCGAGCCCGAACATCTAAGCTATAATTCTTGGCGAAAGTGCAAGGATTCGCCCAAGTAGCAGCTCAACATACATCATCAATCGGTATTCCCGATGCGAAGGCAGATGAGGCAGCAACAGCCCTAGTCGAATGGCCTCGAGAGGCTGTGGGTAAGTCGATCTTAGCCAGTTGGTAAGACAAAGTGATAGTATGGACTATCCACTTAGAAAGTCTCTGCGGAGTGACAGGGGTGCCTTGATCTCTGGTAGCATACTTAACGAAGAGTCTTTTTGAACGTCAAATAGATTCCGTCCTAGATCTGTAAAAGGCTAAACAGTGCCAAACGTCAAATGAATGTAATGATCTTTCTAACAGAGTAGACGGAGACGGAAAGAAGGCAGGCAAAATAATATCTTGTCCCATATGAAAAGGTGTGGACACCTTAGGTAGAAAGGATGGATCGAGCCGCAGGACAACCTTTTCTCTATGAAAATTCAGGTAAGGTGGGTCTACGCGTAGAGCGCAGAGCTCACTGGCCCTTCAGGCCGAGGTAACCGCCACTAGAAATGCTGTTTTCCACGAGACAAGACGTAAATCGACTGCTGCCAATGGTTCGAAAGGAGCTCTCGTAAGCACTTGCAGAACAACAGAGAGATCCGGGTAGGCATTACTGGTCTGATCGATGGGTTCAGATTATAAAGCCCCTTCAAAAACCTCTTAATAGTAGTTTGAGAGAAAATGGACGATCAGTCCACCATGCCACGATGATAGGCGATCGCCACCGTATACACTTTAATCGAAGATGGTTTCAGTCCAGAGTGGTGTAGTTCTAAGAGAAACTGGAGAATTTGGTGTATCGATAATGTAAGTGGAGAAAATGAACGAGAGTCGGCAAAGGTGGAAAATCGCTTCCATTTAGCTGCGTAAAACTTCCATGTAGAAGGCTTTAAAGCAGAGTCCAAGATGTGTTGAATGTCTGGATGAAAGGTTGATGGATTTGGTGGAGCAATCGTCGGGTCCAACAGTGCTGAAGCAGCGGCGACTCCAACGGATTCAAAGGTTGCAAATGTAGCGGATTCGAAGGTAGGATTCGAACCACTTGAAGTTGTCGTTGGTATAGATGTAACAAAGCCAGCTATCGGATTCGTCACGCTGTTAGTTTCAACGATAGCATATCTGGGTGGCGAAGTGCACTGTCCTACTGAGTTATGAAGTACGGGAGCAGTGGAAGATGGAGGTATTCCCTGTGAGAGATGTCCAGCAGTGTGAAAAACCAAGGTTGGCGTGGCCACCAAGGAGTAATTAGTATCCCCATGGCCTGATCGTATACGATCTTTGCTATGACTCTCATCACCAGAGGAATCGGTGGGAAGGCGTAAAAATTCAGATTGTTCCATGGAATCGTGAAGGCATCCCCTAGGGATTTGCACCCGATTCCCGCTCTCGAACAGAAAGTCGCACACACCTTGTTCTGTTGGGTGGAGAACAAGTCGATGTCGGGGAACCCCCAGCGATGAAAGAGATCTTCGCGTGTCTGGGGATCTAGCTCCCATTCGTGGGAGATGAGCATGCGCCTGCTGAGAAGGTCCTCTTCAACATTGTCCATACCGGCCAGATGGACTGCTATCAGCGTAATGTCTCTCGAAATGCACCAGTCCCAGATCTGCATAGAAAGTCTGGCCAGGATTGGAGATTTCATCCCACCTTGTTTGTTCAGATAAAAAACGGTGGCTATGTTGTCCAATGTTATCTGAACAACCTGATGTTGAAGAACATCTTCGAAAGAACGTAGGGCTTTGAATACGGCCAACAGTTCCAGGAAGTTGATATGCTTCGCGCATTCCCGACGATTCCATGTGCCCTGGGTGTACAGGCTGGAGCATACCGCTTCCCACCCCAGAAGAGACGCGTCGGTACCGACTGTTATCGATGGGTATTGGGGCCTGAAGGGGGCCCCAACAGTCAGATTGGCCGGGATCGACCACCATAGCAGGGAATGGAGCACCGAGGATGGAACTCGAAGCAGTTTTGACAGTGGATCTCTATGTGGATGGAACGCCTTGTTGAAAAATAGCTGCAAAGGACAAAGTGGCAGTCTGGCGTATGGTACCACAGCAATGGCGGAAGCCATATGTCCTAAAAGCCTCTGGATGGACTTCGCCGGAACCGATCTGGCTCGTCGCATTCGATCAACGTGGCGAGCGAGAGTCAGTTGTCTGTCCTGAGGGAGGAATGCCTTTTCCAACATCGAATCCAAGTGGGCTCTGATGAACTAAGCTTCTTTACTGGAAGAAGAGAAAATTTCTCGGTATTAATGCATAGGCCCAGATAGTCCAATAAGGCACAAGTAATATGGATAGAAGTGAGAAGTGCTTCCCTAGACCTGGAGACCAGGAGCCAGTCATCAAGGTAAGGATAAACTTGTATGCCCTGGAGGCGTAGGTAAGCGCAGACAGGGGCCATGCATTGAGTAAACACTCTCAGAGCGGTGGCCAAACCAAAGGGTAGAACCATAAATTCGTAGAAATTGGAGGCAACAGTAAAGCGAAGGAAACGCCTATAATTGGGATGGATCGCAATATGGAAATAGGCGTCCTTCAGGTCCAATGAGGCGCACCAATCCTCTTTCCTTAGCAGCGGCAAAATATTTTGAAGGGT